TTGTTTAGATATCTGGCTGCCTAGCAGAGACTGGGTGTTCGGTTCACTACTGTGCCTCCTACAAGTAGAGCCAGCCTGTGTGTCCCAGGGCAATCCCAGAAGAAGTGAATGATAAACTGAGTACTCCGTACCTAGAAAACCCTGGAAAGGGTTGTAATAAGCCAGAATTGACTTGATAGTACAACAACAACAGCTTCACACTTCTCTCTAGCTGTCATTTATGACTTCTCCTGAACAAATGTCACTTTCTTTTGCATTCATTTTTTTTTAAATGTTCTCTCTCTGTCCAGAATATGAAGCAATTTACTGTTTGGAGGTGGATGGATGGATGGATCTGTAACTTCCAATTCCTTCCACATAAACATCATTTAAAACCCATTTGCAAATATTGGTAAATATAAAGGAAACAGGAAAACCTCTAACAATTCCTTATATTTTTTAAAAAATCAAATCAGACTGATAAATGCTGATATGATCATATATCTATTCAATTCAGCAGCCATTGAGGTGGTGCTGGGTAGGGGAAGGAATGGTGGTGGGGGTGGAACATGCCCACATAGGAGAAGAGAGGGTAGATATCTTACATCTATCCCCTCTTCTAGTCCTATCCCCAACCAGATGGTATCAGGTGCCCATATCAGCAAACCCTCAAGCCACACAGTGCTATTGATGAACACCAGGTCAGTACGAAATAAGACTGCCCTCATCCATGATGTAATTCTGGATGAGGGTGCTGACCTGGCATGCATTACTGAGACCTCGGTGGAAGAGGAGGGTGGTGTCCCCTTCTCCCAGCTGTGTCTACCTGGGTACTCGATCCAGCACGAATGTCGCTCAGAGGGTCGGGGGAGTTGCTATAGTCTATAGGAGTTTTATCTCTTTGAACAGGCTTCCAGTCCCTTTGAGAGGAGGTCTTGAGGGCCTGTATTGTGTGTTGGGCTTATGAGTCAGACTGGGGATTCTGTTGGTGTACCACCCACCCTGCTGCATACTAACAGGCTCCCTGCCTGAGCTGACAGAGGTAGTTTCGGACCTGGTGTTGAGGACTCCCAAACTGTTGGTGCTGGGGGACCTCAACATCCATGCCAAGGCTGCCTTGACTGGGGCGGCTCAGGACTTTCAATGGGACTGGAAGATAGTGGTTTGGATGTGGACGAGTGGTTGTGACCCCATTGTCATGGTAGGACCACTTCCTGGTCAAGCTTTATTAGCTTCTTCTTCACTCTGCAAGGGTGGGGGATTCATTAAGATGATCCGCCCTCAGAGACTAATGGATCTGGATGGATTCCTGAATGCTCTGGGGGATTATCCATCTGATATGGTTGGCGCTCCTGTTGAAGCTCAGGTCTCCCTATGGAATAGGGAGATGACCCGGGCAGTTGACACGATTGTGCCTAAGCGCCCTATCCCTGCACGCAGAGCCCAGACAGCTCCCTGGTATACTTCTGAACTGCAGGCGATGAAGCGAGAGGGGAGACGGCTGGAGCGCAGGTGGAGGAAATCACGCTGAGAGTCCGATCGAGATTTCGTGGCAATATGGATGGTGAAATGGCAATATTTCTCCAGCCGTATTGCTTCCTCAGAATGTTGTCCAGCAGAGCTGTTTTGGGTGGTCTGGGACATTCTTCAACCTGGAAATCCGGTGGAGGTCCCGGACTGCTCATCACCTCGCTGTGATGAGTTTGCCATTCATTTTGAGGGGAAGATCGCTCTGATTCGCAGTGGGTTGGACTCCACCGTTACTGCAGAATCAGAGGATGTGTCCAGTGTGCCATGCTTAGGTCAAATATTAATGGATGAGTTTCAACTGTTGAGACCTGAGGATGTGGACAGGGTGCTTGGATCTGTCTGTTCTACCACCACTCCACTCGACCCTTGCCCATCTTGGCTAATAGGAAGAACTGCCAGCGGGGTTCACACCTGGGTCCAGGAGGCTGTGAATGCCTCTTTGAGGGAGGGGGTGGTCCCTACCACCTTGAAAGAGGTGGTAATTCAGCCACTCCTTAAAAAGCCTAACCTGGACCCAAGGCTGGTGGTTAACTACCAACCAGTGGCAACCTTCCCTTATTTGGGCAAAGTGTTGGAGCGGATTGTGGCTGGGCAACTCCAGGTGCTGCTGGATGAAACTGATTTTCTAGATCCATTTCAATTGGGTTTTAGGCCGGGTTTTGGTATGGAGACTGCCTTGGTTACTCTGTACGATGACCTTTTCCGGGAGAGGGACAGGGAGAGTGTGACCCTATTGAAACTCTCAGCGGCTTTTGACACCATCAACCATGGTGTCATTCTGGATAGGCAGGCTGGGTTGGCAGTTGTGGGCACCGTTTTATGGTGGTTCCACTACTTCCTGGTTGACCATGTTCAGAGGGTGGTGCTGGGAGACAGTTGCTCTGCCCCATGGCATTTATGTCATGGAGTTCCTCAGGGCTCGATACTGTCCCCCATGCTGTTTTAACATCTACATGGAACTGCTGGAAGAAGTTATCAGAGGTCTGTGCTGAGGAGTCAGCAATATGCGGACAGCTCTCAGCTCTACCTCTCATTTTCCACCAATCCAGGTGAGGCAGGTTCTGTGCTGAACTCGTGTCTGGACCCGATAATGGACTGGCTGAGGATTAATAAATTGAAACTCAATCCAGACAAGACAGAAGTGTTGTTAGTGGGTGCTTCACCGGACAGGCTGGAGGGCCATTTCCCTGCCCTGAATGGGGTTACACTCCCCCTAAGGGACAGGACCTGCAGCCTGGGGGTGCTCCTGGACTCCAGTCTAACTCAGGAAGCCCAGGTGGACTCGGTGGCCAGGGGCACCTTCCTTTAGCTGCGGAAATTGTACCAGCTACGGCCCTACCTGGACGAGCGGAGTCTCATGACAGTTACACATGTACTGGTAACATCTCGTATAGATTATTGCAATGCGCTCTACGTGGGGCTGCCTTTGAAGATGGTCCAGTGACTGCAACTGGTCCAGAATTGAGCTGCAAGCTGGTGAGTGGTGGGGCCATTGGGAGACACATCAAGCCAATTCTGATTAAATTACCTTGGCTACCAGTTCAAAGTGCTTGTTTTGACATATAAAACCCTAAACGGCTTGAGCCCTGGATACCTGAAGGACCGCCTCCTTCCATATGAACCTACCCTGCAGTTAAGATCTAGCCAGGGGGCCCTTTTGAAAGAGCCGTCCCTCAAGGAAGTAAGAGGGATGGCTCGTAGACGAAGGGCCTTTTCAGCAGCTGCCCCCAGACTATGGAACGCCATCCCAAGGGAGATTTGTCTGGTGCCAATGTTGATGACATTTCGGCTCCAGATCAAAACCTTCCTGTTCCAGAAGGGTTTTAATTGAAATAATATCAACTGTGGGTCCTGATGGCAATTTTTAGAGTATATATTTTAATTGTATTTTAACTGTTTTATCTTTTAAATTGTATTTTAATTGTTGTAAGCCACCCAGAGACCTTTGGGTAGTGTGGGTGGCATATAAGTTAAACAAACAAACTTTTCCCGTCTCCATGCCTCTTTCTCCTTCTGAATCAGGTGCAACGACCATGAAATATCAACTGCAAAACTCCTGTTCAAGGACAGCTGCAGGCGTAAACATGACCACTTTTCTTAGATAATGGGGACAAACAACAACAGCTTATTGAAGATTCTGCTTACATCTCGGAATTTCAGTATCTACCCCTGCTACTTGCTGCTGCACAGAAATTTTTGTTGAGAATTACATATTTTAAATATTCTTTAACAAAGACTAAAGGCGTATTCATATAAAACTTTTCTATAGACTACTCATAGTTTCCAGATGATGTGGTATTTCATTTCTCATACTGCTCCTACTACTGGGAGCCCTATTATAATGTCACACACCTTCCTCCCAAAAATCAACATGCTGAATATAGTCATTTTGATGGGGAACACCATCACTGGCCTCTTAGGAATGGAATTTCCACAAGTGCATTGATTTTCCAACTTCATGTGGTTGCTTTTGTATAGGACCTGTGGTGGAAACCATACCCTCTGGATGAAGATTCCATAAATCGCCCTGCCTCCTCAAAACATCATCAACTGGTGACTTCCAAGCTTCGTAGAAGTTTCTTTGACATTTTAAAAGTCTGAAATGTTTCTCCTGAGGCTTAATTACGTGTAGTAAGAGCATTAAAACATATTAGCATAATGACTCCCTCACTTTTCCTTTACTATCAACCCTTCAACTGGAAGCACCTCCCTCCCAATTTCTGCTAATTTACATTCAGCCCTCAAATAGAAAAAAAGTTCCCCGTCCTTGACAAAGGGGTGCTCTTGCAGAGAATCATGTTCAGTATGCAACCTAAGAAGGCAAGGCTTACACAGGGATCAGATCAAAGTAAGAGTGCGTCTCACTTTGATTCCACCTTATTAACTGCCATAGCTCCTTTCTATGGAATGCTGGGATCTGTAGTTTAAAGAAGAACTCAGAATTCTTTGGTGCAGTTCTGAGAACAGAACGAGAAGCCCCTGGCAGAAATGTCTAAGTCCCTCACTGAACGAGAAATCCCAGAATTCCATAGGATAAATCCATGCCATTTAAAGAGAAATCAAACTGCTTTTAACTATAATAGACACACTACAAAGTATCACACCCGCACTAAGAAATGATCAAAAGTGAGAACCAGAACTACACTCCAGCATGAGAGTACCTAGTACTTTTATAACACACATAATAGTGCATCGAAATGTTCTAAAACTGCTAGATGTCACTGCTATGAATCTGTATGTGACCTTAAAGCATTATAAATCAACATTACAGTTTGGATAGAGCAATTTGCCACTCTGTTAGTAGAAGATGGAATGGCAGATCATTATAATAATTATATATTATTACATAACAGGAGGTTTTCCAGTCTTTACCTGTTCTTTTGCAGTGTTATTTGATAGCAGGTTGTTTGTAATAATGGCAGGTAAAACCAAATCAGTTTGAAGCCTGGAATACTAATGAAAATCCCGCAACTTCCTTAGAAAGTCCTTACCTCTTCCTTCGTCTTTTTGGATATAACTCTTAGCCAGTCACCAATCATACTCAGAACAGCAGCAAAATATGCAAGGCCCACAAGGATCCAGAACCACACCACTGGCTTATAGAAATCGAAATATTCAATATCAGATCCTCCTGAAAAATAAATTTTAGATTTAACAAATCAAAAGTTGCATAATACGAATACTTCTTTAGATCTACCATCCTTCATTAACATTTTACTACAGTTTATGAAAAAAACACAGTTCTTTTTGTCTGAACTCCTCATGAACTTTGGAGAAAGAAAAAAATAAAAGCTTGTTAAGACAGAAATTCAGCCTTGAAACAAATAAGTCAAAGTTAACAACTTGTCACTTCTATTCATTTCAATGAAAAAGGTATGCACCAGCTTAAATATTTTCTGCTGAACTCAGTGTCATGATATCAAAATCATTCTAAATTGTGGCTTACTATTACTTGTGTAAGCCTCAACCTCCTGTACTCACTCTGGGGAGGTACAGGAACTAAAAAAGAAATAAAAAGAAAAAGAAGAAACCATCAGCAGGTTCTAATAGAGACTTCTCATTGTCCTTCTCTCTCTCTTTTTTTTTTTTAAAAAAAGATGCTGCCAGGAGAGATAAATCGAAGAAAACAAACAACTGGGAGAATATATATCCCCTTCCTGTGTGCAGTGGCCCTGATCCAGATCAGAGTTCTGCATACTTAACAATAACCATGTGGCATCAAGTCTGTTGTGACTTATGGTGACCCTTTTCTGGGTTTTCTAGGCAGAGGCTACTCAAAAGTGGTTTATCATTTTCTTCTTCTGGGGGAATCCTGAGACTATGCAGCTTGCCCAAGGCCACAAGGCCTGGCTCTTTCAGGGATGCACAGTGGGGTGCTGAAATCCCAGCCTCTGGCACTGCAACCACATACCTAACTCATTGAGCTATCCAGCCAACATACTTATTTGCAAGTTTTAAAAAACAGAGTTTCAGCTTCATGCTGCACATGAATTTACAAGCTACTGAAGCATATATAAACTGTGCACCTGTAGGTACAGTCTTATGCACACTAACCAATGAATAAGTTCCAGTATTCGTTCGTTCGTTCGTTCGTTCGTTGTAGGTACAGTCTTATGCACACTAACCAATGAATAAATCTCAGTATTCATTCATTCATTCATTCATTCATTTATTTATTTACCATCCCATTAGTGCACAGTACTATTCTGAGTGGTTAACATACAAGAGCAGCAAAACGGCTCAATCAAACAATAAAAAAATCCAACCAGCATCAAAAAAAGAAAACCAGCATTAAATCCTTATGCTACTGATTGTTGAATATTAGAGTGCCCAAATATTTGGGCAATACTGTTGCCCTGTATTAAATATGTTTTATGTGAGAGCATAATGGAAGAAAGATTACCACTTCTAGTCATTTAAGAATTGTTTCCATACTCAAGCTGTTCAGAATTCACTCTCACACATCCATAAACTTTAACTCACCAACATATACCAATCAAACCAATATGTCTTATATAATAAATCAACAGCTTGATCAACAAATAATTAAACAGCTTGATCCATCAATTTAAGAGTACTGCATGTCTTAACTGCATATTCACCTTGGTTAAAAAATCAGACTACTCAGAGTACAGAGTACAGTTATCCTAACACCTCAGTGACATTCCATTCCATGAAAAGCCCAGCAGATTTTCAGAAAACATTTTTCTTGGAAGTTTCTGTTCCATAAGGGTTTGTATATCTGTAACTTGATATATATGGGGAACTGAGGGAGAAGACGTGTGAATTTTAATAATTTTCAAGGGGAAGCTTCTTCCTTTAACTATGAGAAAGCTGAGCACTTTTCTACCAAGATAATGAGAGCAGTCAGCTCTCTCCTTCACCCAAGAGAACTCTTGGGAACTATACTACATCATGAAACAATGGCTGAAATCAAGCAGTAAGTCACAATGAGAGCAAGCCCATTGAATCAGTAAGGATTTTGAGTCAACCCCTCCATAAGTCCTCACTGATTCAATAAGCCTACTCCAAGTTGCTTTTGTATGTTGGCCTTAGCATGCTTAGTAATCTGCAGAACAGCAATCACTTCACTTTCAGGTTGCATTAATCTGCCACTTAAGTTTACCAAATTGAATGCAGCAGATGAATTCCTTATGAACATGAAATTACTGCCATTTTGCAATACAGAGCCCATTGTAGTAATTTTGTTTAGAAATTACAGATTTCAGGGCATTACAGTTTAAAGGGAAGTAGCTTAGTGAAGGGTACATCTATAGTAAATGGTAAGAAACGTGGTTGCAGTCTTCCTGCGAGTATGTTTTATTATTGCACAACTCTAGGAAGCAGTACTATGCTTAATTACATGATGGAAGTTATGCAGTAGCAAGAGGATTTTGATGAAAGGTGCAAGCCCTGATACAGCAAGATACTGTAGAGGCAAGGCAATAGGATCCAATGAATGTTAAGTTCTGAAAACTGAGGATGAGTGGCTACTAACAACCCACCGAGGACACTGAGAGCCCTGAAGATACTTGGGGCTGCTGAAGTGTGAGGAAATGCAAATCAAGGACTGAAGGATGTCAAATATTGGAATTTAAGCTGCCTTGCTGTGTGTGTGGAAGAAGGCTTAATATGAGTTTCATCAGGTTCTACTACAAAGAAGACAAGTCATTTATAGTTGACTCTGCATACCAAAAGTTCTCAAATCCGTCTTGATATCAGGACTGATAGATCTCTGATCAAGATGTCAACACGTCTTATATTGCTCTTTTGATTGATGTCTATTTGTGTGCACCTCCATATTTTTTAAGTTAAGCAATGTCACCTAGTGGTAGACCAAGCAGACTGCAGTGGCTGAGGAAGTTTATGTCCCAGTCATGTTGGGGTTATGTGAGGCTAAACCTGTCATGAGCATTTTAACACTGCTTTCAATTTCAGGCTAAGCAATTTCATTGACTCCAGTACATTAGTGGAATTGTTTAAGTCTTCCTCTTAACATTCTGAGATCACTACCATGGTCTTCAGCCAGCTGGCAGTTCTATCATCAACATCACTAAATCAAACATAAGCACTGCAGACGTCCTTTAAACCAGAAATATATAGAGTGATGTGCAACAAACTTTCAGATGATAAACATTGCATACCCTTGTAAAAACACCCGTAATATTATTATCTTTAAAGACTCTGCTGAGGAAACAACTTCGACAAAGACTTGATCTCAGATTTAGAAGTGCCTGTAACTATTTTAAATTGGAAAACATCTGTGCATTCTTACATTCTCCTAGACAAAAAGACCTTCTAAGACAATAATCCGTATCTCTACTGTACTGCTGTTCTTCTAAGAAACAGCCAACTGTCTAACTCCAAATCCTTCACAAAAGATATGACTTGAATTTCAGAAATTTCAACTAATCGTTCTAGAAACTGAGGAAACAGCTCTTTATGGACTTACAGATACTGAACACCCTAACAGTATCCAAAGTACAGCTCCAATAATGCCTATTTCAAGCCTAGACATATGTAGTTGAAAGTAAACAGATGTGACATGTGCCTTGTCACATCTCGACTTGACTACTGTAACATGCTCTACATGGGTCTGCCTTTGGAAAGTGTTCAGAAATTCAAGAGGGTCCAAAATGCAGCTGCCAGACTGCTGACTGGGGCTGGTTACAGAGAAAATACGACCCATCCCCCCATTGTTACAGCAGCACCACTGGCTGCCAGTCCATTTCCAGGCACAATTTAAAGTGCTGCTCTCACCCTTTAAAGCCCTAAATTAACTTGGGTCCAAACAATCTAAAACACTGCATCTCCCTCTATGAGCCTGTCCAGGCTTAAAGATCATCAGGGGAGGCCTTTCTCTCAGTCCTGCCACTCTCAGAGATACTCTTGACGAGGACATGGGAAAGGTCCTTCTCTGTTGCTGTTCAGACTCTGGAATTTCCTCCTACAAGAAGCTAGGCTGTCCCCATCATTGCTGTCGTTCCACAAGCAGGCAGGCTTTCTGTTCAGGTAGACTTTACCTTAATAACTGGTGATCTGAGAAGGGTTCTTAGATGAATAGTTGTGCTCTGTTGTTTTAAATGTTTTAGTATTGATTTTATTACTGTTTTTAATGTATATTAGTCTAATTCTTTTTAAATATTTGTATACCTGCTGCTTTTAGCTTCTACATATTGTCTTTTTAATGATCTAAGCCACCCTGGTTCTTCTTAAGGGGAATGGGGGGTGGGGATAAAAATAATTTAAATAAATACACAGAAATATATTTACCCCTTAACATCAATTGCAGCCAATCCGAAACAGAAGTGCTTCAGAAAGGTAGGAGAGCAGATGTAGGAGAAGCAGGACCGGTTATATGCTGTTAACAAGTGAGGGCTGAAAAACTGTCTGGGCCAAGCCTTGAGAATGAAAAGCTGAGCCAGTGAGTAACAGCCAAAGAAGAAAGCTAGAAACCAGAACTAAAGAATGGAGCTGAAAACTGTGAAGAGATACACCGGAACTAATAAGATCTTAGAGTTTATGCAAGGTACCAGCTGCAAACAGGAAGCCCTTCTCAGTCCTTTTTTTCAGGAGGGCTCAGAGCAGTGCAGAACTGGAAAATTTTTCATCATCAAGAAGAAACTGTTATGGGAACCACATGAAGCAACTATTCATAGATCTGGAATTCCTAGTTCAAGCGTTGACAACCACTGACATGAGTTGTGGCTTCAGTTAGAGGATGGACTCTTGTTCTCTATTAATTTGATCTCATCTGCATTAATCATCTGCATTTAGGGAGTAGATCCCGAAGAGAATGAGGGATTCCAAAATTCCCTCTTTTACTGTGGAACTGCAACAGAAGGTGTCTATCTCCGGAGTAGATCAGATGGAAAACTCTTTAATCTCTCTAGATTGAGAGCAAAGACCAAAGTCCAGCTGAAATGGATGCTGTTCACTGATGATACAGCTGTTGTTGCCCATTCTGCTGAAGACCTCCCAACAACTCATGAATCATTTTAGCATGGCCTTGGATTAACAATCAGCCTGAAGAAAACACAAGTCATGGGCCAGGGCGTGGACTCACCTCCCTCTATTACCATCTCCACACAAGAATTGGAGGTTGTTCATGACTTTGTGTACCTTGGCTCA